AAAGAAAAGACCTAATTTTGGGAATTATTTTGGAGTAATTCGTATGAGNAAAATCGCACAATATTTCCTAAAAATAACACATAATTAAAGAAAAGACCTAATTTTGGGAATTATTTTGGAGTAATTCATATGAGGCAAAAATCACGTGCTCACAACAGGGTATCAGCAAAAGTATCATAGACGGAGGTAAAAAATATAACATAATCAAGGCCTGATCCTCACTCTCAATTTTGATATTCACGTTCTTCAGATCCATTATAATTGAATTAAACTCATCAATGTGAGTTTTAACAGGTGTACCTTCGTTCATATGGAGATTGTATAACCTCTTTTTCAGGTAGAGGCGGTTTGCAGCGATTTCTTAGAATACAGATTTTCCAGCTTCTTCCATGCCATTGCTACATAAGTTTCTTCAGCAATTTTCCGAAGAACGCAATCTGTAACGCTCATGAAGATCGCACTCAAAAACCTCTCCTTCAGGTCTGCCTTTTCTGTCTCTTTCATCTCTTCAGTAAAATCCTCATCAATTGCCTTCCATAACCCTTGTAACACCAGAGACAATTTCATCCTAATCTTCCATAGACTAAAACTGGAACTCCCGTCAAATTTCTCTACTTCGTACTTTGATGAAGATGATGAAGACATCTTACCCTAGATTATATATAGAAACCTGAACCTTGCTGTAATACCAATTATTACGAAAGATTGTGGGTTAATTAGCACACAATCACACACAAAGCAAATAGATAAGAAAAATGAAACAGAGATTTAACGAGGTTCAACTAAGCCTAATCCTCGGGGCAGGAGCAGAGAGAGTTTTCCATTATGAATGAGAAGAAAAACACAATATAATCTATAGAATCTCCAACTATAACCCCTATATATAGATCCCAAATAGTCACAAATCTATAAGAGAAAGGTTTCCCAATTTGACAAGGATAATGGGTTTTTCTTTCCCAAATCTATTAGAACAATGTGTTTTTTCAAACCTATCGGGATTATGGATTTCTTAAAACTACAAGGAGAAAATTCAAGCCATAAAACAACAATAAAACTAGAGTAAAATCTTTAAAAAGAAGAAGAATCTGCTCTTTATAAGAAGAAGAAAGATGCATTTACAACAGGATGCGTTTTAGCTTTTGCTTTATTTAGTGGTGGTTTTTTCATTTTTAGTGGGTCGGGTTAGGTGTATAGGTGAATTTTTTATGTTCTGTTTAGGCCTTCATTATTTTATTGTCCAAAAAATATTAAAAAGTCCATGTGGACTGTCACGTTATATTTTTTCACGGAAAAGTTTGATAATTTCGGGTGAATGCTCATCTATGTGCAATAAGAATAATTGAGCGACTTTTTTGTTACAAACTAAAGAAAAATAACTTTAATCTATAATTTTGAATAATTGAATGATCATCAAAATAATGGACTCCTCTCGGTTTAACTTATCGAACGACTAACTTTACTTAGAACACTCTTTTAACTTCAGATCAACTCTTCAGTGTAGTGAGACAACTATCCTCTCTCTCCCAGCTCGGGCCCTTTTTCCGCATGTCAAGCCATGCCTACTTTCTCAAAAACAAAAACAAAAAGGACAAACAATCGAAATAATATAATCCACGGGTAAGCTGAACAAGACGTATCAAAATGTGTTAGAGAATATATCGATCATATTTTTTTTGGCAAATTGTCTAAGGCTTTCCAAAAAGCTTATAAATGCCACGAGATACTTTACTCATTGTTTTTTGAAGAAAAAAATTACGCTTTCACCAACCACTTCGTCCTAATCATTCAACTTTTCCCCTCAATTCTAATAAAGAATATCGATTTTCAACAACCACTTTCGCCTGATCCAATTCCACCTCCATCGAGGCAGCGAACAAGTTTTAAATTAGAGACGTTAAAAAAATGAATTGACGCAGATCATAACCCTTAGCCTTCTAAGCTAACGATGCGAGCTGATTCCCGCTATCCGTTTTATATATATATCTAATGTCATGTCACATAACACATTATAATGTGAAAAAGAGAATTCTTCTAATTCACAAGGGACACTTCCTTTTGAATTATTACTCACAACTCGTCTAACATCATCATGTCTATCGTTTAATGGTAACAGTGCATTAATTTTTTTGTACGATTCATAACACCACTTTTCTGGTTGACGGACGGTCAATAAAAGCATCCACATGATACCATAAACCATAAATTTTCCTTTACTTCCTTTTTTTTTAAAATTTTTTTGAACTGTATTATACATCTTATCAGTCACCCAACAACAACCCACAAAAAAAAAAAAAAAAAAAAGGAGGGCCAGTGGGCCAGTTATGTTGGGGGCTTGGTGTGTGAGTAAATCCGTAAGAAATTAAAACCACATGTGAAGATTTTACTACTTTTATTGTTGGGCTAAAGTGCAGTGGATTCATAGAGAGTTCTCTTATTAATATTTACTTTTGCTTTATTTTTGAATAAAAAGTAAACCTCAGTACTACTAATAATGGCCATCGGCTAGAGAGATTAATCACATTAAAATGCTAAACTACACAGGTTTGGAGCGGCTTACAAGTTACAATCATTGTTTATATTGTATAGTATTCCTTCCATTTCATTTTAGTTGTCGTGGTTACTAAAAATAATTGGTTCCAAATACTTGTCATTTTAGAAATCAAGATATGATTAATTAATTTTTATCTATCTATCCTTAGTATTAATTGATCTAAAAAGTAAAGCATTGATTATATAACATAGAAAACCTAAATGTGAAGAGTAAATATCGGTATAATAGCCAAACAACCTTTTTCATTACTGTAATATTAGTTTTTTAAGGGACTTATAAAAGAGATACTCCCTCCGTTTACTTTTATTTGAAACATTTTGACTTTTTATGCCCCTTAAGAAATAATAAATGAAGTGCATATTTTACCATGATACTCATATTAATTGATGCATATTTTATTGAATTTGAGAAAATAATTTAAAATGTGTAATAAATACTGTGGATATAACAGAAAAAAGAAAAATTTGTCTTCTCTAGATATACGTAAAGTGATAAATAAAAATAAAAATCTATTTTTAGTATACATGTCAAGTAAAAGTGAACGGAGGGAGTACATAACAACTAAAATTAATCGAAAGAAGTAATACCATTGAATTTTAATAAAATCAATGGAAAGAGCTAAATATGTGGTTGCTTGAGCTTGTAATGTATTGATATTAATGGTGGTTATAGTTTCCCCAACTTCCCATGTTTTCAACCTCTACTGGCCACTAATAGTTTCAAAGGCGGAAATACTTGGAATTTGCTTTAGAGAGGAGTTACCACCAGTTTTGGTGATCTAATGATTAATCACAAATGACAAGATGATAATCTGGCACTGATAATTAGGTATTTGGAAAACAATGCATGTCTTTGCGCATAATTTTTCTGGCTGAAAATCTCATGGAACATGGGATTTTGCTCCCAACCAGCCTGAGGTATCCAAAATTCTACTGACCCGATTAATCTAAATTTTCAGTGAACACGACTCATTAAAAGGGTAGAGAGATCTTATTCACGGTAGTACAAATATGCTTGTACTCGGAGGTAGCTTAACCCCATGCCACGAAAGCAGCTGCTTTAGGCCTCACAAAATTATTAGAGGCTCCAAAAGCTACATTTTTATATGTAATTTAAATATTTATTGTATTTATTATTAAATAATAAGAAGAAATTTTTTCAACCATCTTTAATTGCTACCTTGTCACGAATCGTTAATAACATAGTTTTATATTTTAAGTTAACTTTTTTTGGGAGTTGCTATATAGTGAGTTATGTTGAAGGTCATGTGAAAAAAAATTAAAAATTAAACTTAATAAAATCTTATCAAAAGTTGGTAATGTTTCAACAAAGATTAAAGGGTCGGTTACATCGTTAAGATGAAATTGCATCTCACAAAGTAAAATGAATAAACTTCAACAAAAATATCTAAAATTATTAAACAAGTTTAAGGCTTCTTATTACGTCTTGGTTTTAGGCCTCCAATGCCATTGAGTCGCCTCTGCTTGTACTATATTGATGGCAGGGCGGAGCTAGCATATAGGACTTGTGGGTTCCGTAGAACCAAATAAACTTTGATCCAAACAATGTGTTTATCTTACAAAATTTATTGAATATGTATAAATTATTAATTTAAAATACAATACTTAAATTGGCTAGCATCCATAACCTATGAGATTCAAATCCTGATTCTGACGGCCAGTTGCCCCAACTTCCCATGTTTATAACCTCTGCTGGCCAGTAATATAGATTAAAAAATGCATGGCTTTGCACATAGTTTCCTTTCTAACAATATCATGTAACATGGGATTTTGTTCAGAACTTGCTCTTTAATTCAATATTAAGACACGTTCCTGGACAAATACAGTGGTTTATCCTTATAGCATGAGCTTTGTTAGCATCATTGTTTTACTTAACGAGAGAACCGATGCCCAACATGCAAGGTTGTTAGTGTTTATAATCCTTAGCCAACATGCAAGGTTGTTAGTGTTTATAATCCATACATATACTTGACTTGAAACAGTAGGAACAAAACAAACAAACAAAAACAAAATAAATTAAAGGAAACAGAAATTTACTTCAACTGCCATCCAAAACAGTAGCTAAGGATAGTAATAAATGGAATCCAACTACACTCATGTAAACTCATAAATGCATCCCAACCGCTCCCAATACACTCTTACTATCCCTACACTAGTATTCCCTCCGGTACATTATCAATTTGCTTTTTTATTTTGGTTCAAAATAACTATCCAGTTATATAATCAAGAAAGAATTCAATTTGTTTTTACAAAATAACCCCTATGTATATATTTCTAAAAAGTTTTCTTACTCTTCATACTAAATATTTAATTAGGGGTAGTTTAGACATAGTAGATATTTTTGTATAGAATTTAATATTTTTTTAATGGACGTGCTAAAAGCAAATTGGTCAATTATTATGAATATAAGGGAATACTACTTCTAGTATAAGTAAATCACCTTTCTTGGCTCATTTTCCAATCACCAAAAAAACAAAGCCATTTTCAGTTGTTCATCTCTCTTGCTTTTCCAATTTCATCATCATTTGTGAAATTAGCCATGGCAGGTGAAGTAGCAAAGGAGGAAACTGTTGTTACAAAAGTGAAAATCCTGAAGAAAACCAACGTAAAACCACATAAACCACTAGGCAAAAAAGAGTGTCAATTGGTAACATTTGATCTTCCTTACTTAGCTTTCTATTACAACCAAAAGTTGCTGATCTATAAGGGTGCTGAAAACTTTGATGAAACGGTGGAAAAATTGAAAGATGGTCTAGCCTTAGTGTTGGAAGATTTCTATCAACTAGCTGGGAAACTGGGAAAAGATGAAGAGGGTGTTTTCAAGGTGGAATACGACGATGACATGGACGGCGCGGAGGTGATAGTGGCTGCCGCAGAAGGAATTGATGTTGCAGATCTTACGGATGAAGAAGGCACCTCCAAATTCCTGGATTTAATTCCTTGTAATAAAATCTTGAATTTTGAAGGGCTTCACCGGCCTCTTCTGGCTGTGCAGGTAATGGTTTAATGCTCCATAAATGGATTTAAGTTATACATTGTATATACAATTTTTTTTTTTTTGGTTTTTCGCCCGGTGTCCGGTACCCGCATTGGAGCCCGACTATATCCGGATTCGCACCGCGTAGGGCCCCATTCGGGAAGCGCTCCCTACCAAGGATTTTTCCATACCGAGGGCTCGAACCCGATACCTCTGGTTAAGGAAAATGCAGTCTCATCCACTGCACCACATTCTTTTGATCCGTATATACATTTTACACGATAAAGAATTTTTATATGATCGTTGTAATTTAAACTTTTAAAGTAATTCAATTGTGTAAATACTGTTAGTGTCACACTCATAATTTAGTTTTGGCTATTCTTGAGACCACTTAACAAATATTTTTGTTCGTGTTAATGAGTTTTAGCTATTTATATCTTTATATACTTACATTTAATGCACCTAGAGGTTTGGCGGTGGCACTGAAACTAGAAATGTTGTATCGAGTTTCTTTCTGATTAGGATGTTAACTTTAGGAAGATCCACAACCTTTACTACAAAAGGAAATCATACTATATCACAATCCTTTTAAAATTCCAAGCATAAGCCAGTCGATGTGCTAACACTCCAATCTTGTTTATAAACAAGTTAAATCCTTTAGCTAGATCAAGGTGCTAGGGTGGGTATTCAATTAATTATGACAAAGATCACTTAATTAATGTGATGAATAAGTTGTGTGCATAGATGTATATAGAGTTGCATGATTAATTAATTTGTCTGAATTTTCACTATTTATTTTTCTCAAGTTAGTGTAAGGTAAGGTTAGGTTAGTGTAAACTCTACCCCGCTCAAACCTCATAAAACGCCGGGTTTATTATTATTGTAGTAATGTAGCATGTAATCATCCTGTCAAGATACAATTTATTCACAATATCATGATGGTTCCTATTGGGAGAAAAATCTTTTTTTTTAAAATTGAAAATAAGACCGCCAATTAAATGTCTAACGACATTAACAACTAAGTTCTATCCACTGCTATATATATTCTTAGTGTAATCTGACAAACTCTTAAAGTATAAATATAATCTTCTATCCTTTTTTCAGAATTACCCATTTAGTGTAGATGCTTCTTTTAGTAAATAAACTTAAATTGATCTCATTATATAAATATTTTTTGTACATTAATGCTTCAACTGGAATTAACGCAGAGTAGCAATTAATTTGTTTGGACCCATTGATGACTTATTTTGTGGTCCCAATTTTATTTTTGCCAACTACCTACAGCTCACCAAGCTCAAGGATGGACTCACCATTGGAATAGCATTTAATCATGCTGTGCTGGACGGTACTTCCACGTGGCACTTCATGGCCTCCTGGGCACAACTCTGCAGTGGGTCCACCTCCATCTCGGTCCCACCTTTCCTTGAACGCACCAAGGCTCGCAACACCCGAGTCAAGCTCAACCTTTCTCCGCCATCAGACGCACCAGAACCTGCCAAGTCAGCAACCAATGGTGACGTCACCGCCAGCGTGGACCCACCTCTCCGCGAAAGGATCTTCAAGTTCTCCGAGTCAGCAATTGACCAAATCAAGTCAAAGGTCAACGCTAATCCACCGGAAGGATCCTCCGCCCCATTCTCTACATTCCAGTCGCTCTCCGCACACGTGTGGTTAGCCATCACACGTGCCCGCCAGCTCAAGCCGGAGGACTACACAGTCTACACTGTCTTCGCCGATTGCCGGAAAAGAGTCGACCCTCCGATGCCAGAGAGTTACTTCGGAAACCTAATTCAGGCGATTTTCACGGTGACGGCGGCGGGTTTATTGCTGGGGCAGCCAATTGAGTTCGCCGCCGGGATGATACAGCAAGCGATTGTGAAACACGACGCTAAGGCGATTGACGAACGTAACAAGGAGTGGGAGAGTAATCCGAAGATTTTTCAGTACAAGGATGCTGGAGTGAACTGCGTGGCTGTCGGAAGCTCGCCGAGGTTTAAGGTGTACGACGTGGATTTTGGATGGGGACAGCCGGAGAGTGTGAGGAGTGGTTCGAATAATAGGTTTGATGGAATGGTGTATTTGTATCAAGGGAAAAATGGAGGAAGAAGCATTGATGTGGAGATTAGTTTGGAAGCAAATGCTATGGAGAGGTTGGAGAAGGATAAGGAGTTTCTCATGGAAGCTTAATTAATTAGCTAGAATGAGAATCTATCTCTAAATTCTATGAGTAATTTGTATGTTTCCCTTTTTTTTTTCTATCTTTTTCCTTTTGTTTTATTTAGGGGTGGGGTGGGGTGGGTAGTGGTTTTCTCCTTCTTCTTTTATTTATTGTTTTCTGCTTTCTATGTTTTTCGTTCTTTGTATGTTATGCAGAGACGAAACTCATGAGTATAAAGGAATAAAAGTTTGTTAGAGATTAATGTGATATCTTTTAGGGGTCGTTTGGTAAGAGATATTAGAAAAAATAATGCAAGCATTAGTTTTATGCATTACTAATATCTTGTTTGGTATATTTTTTCAATTTGTATATAATTAATAATTGTATTAGTTATACATCATACTTGGCATTATCCTATGCATAAGTAAATACATAGAAAACTATGATATTAATAATACCAAGGCTTTAATGCATGCATTAGCATAGTTAAAGATAAAATTGTCCTTAAAGTCCCTTAAAGCTAGAGAATATGGAGGACATTTTTGTAAGCAACTATTTTTCTTAAAAATTATGCAATGCATTATAATTTAATACACCACACCAAACAATAGATAAAAAATAATATTTGCATAACTAATACTTGCATTACTAACTCATACATTAAAAATTCGTACATTACTAATACACCTTATTTCGCACTATTCTTGTACACCATACAAACACCCCTTATCATCATGTTTTACGAGAAGAGTATAAATAGTTACTAAAACAGAAGTATCTGCGCCTCGTGGTAAACAATAAACATTAGCTTATAGTACTAGCCTACTAGGATTAGCTGGATTCATTTTCCCTCATTGGACTGAAAAGTTGGAGTAATATTTTTAGTGTCAGAGCATGGTTAAATTTGGATTGTGAAAAATGGAGCCCGGAAGCAAAATATGGTTCTCTTGGACTTAATCAAAATTTGTATAAAAAAAATTGGGCACAATAATATATATATATATATATATATAACGCCATAGCTTACCACGCTATAGCTTAATGATCTTTTGTTCGTTAAGGTATAGCACGATGTAATAACACGCTATATTTGAATTAAAAATGGGCGGGAAGGTATAGTGTGCCTATACACCACACTATAGTATAGCCATGGAACACATCTTAACACTATCGATCCCTACCTTGAAAAAAATATATTAGGTTGCTATACTGACTTGGTTGATGACAAGTGGTATGGTATTCTGCGTACCTTGGAAAATAAGCTTATCAATATACACATTGATCTCAAAGTTGCAGGGCACATTATTAAGGGCGAAATGCATTCTACAAAGCCTGAAGGTATACAAATTTGGGGCGAAAAACTACAATGTGTTCCCCTTTACTCAAAACGATGTGATTACGAAGTACTATGTCGCTGGCATGGGCTTGTTGTGTCACACGCACTGTCTGCAACCTTCCAAACAAACACACACAAAGATGAACCAGAAGTGATTCGGCATTTGATGAAGGAGATTCTAAAGATGGAAAAGGCACTAGTTGTTCATCATGCAATGGATGATCTTAACTTCCTAGGAGGAACGGAGGATCAGTAATAGGATTTATTAGAAAATAATAAATTGCATAGAAACAATGATTATCCTGTTTTCCTAACAGTTGTCGAGTGGGAGGGACTACCTAAGTTTCTACCACAAACGTTGGACGTAGGAGTCCCATAGGTCTTCTTGATGATAGCGACAAAATGCGAGAAATGTGTGTCAACTGGGGCCTACATTACGATGCTCTCGGTCCCGAAGGGTACATACATGATGTTGACGGAGAAGATGAAGACACTGATAATGAAATAGTACCAGGCAGCGACGATAATGGCGAATGACAATTTTTTTTCTTGGGATGTATGTCAAATTGTTGTACTGAAGTATTAATGCTAAATATCAATAAAACTTAACACCAATGGAAACATAATTTTATTTCATACATTTTGCAAGATGAACATGTACATACACTTATTACAATAAATTATTGAAATAAAACACTACGGTATCCTTGAAATTGGCACATTGGATGAACTTTTACCGGGAGCTGAATTACCATCACTACCCAAACTAGTTGAAGGACATTTACGATGGTTGTGTCCTGTTTGTGAGCATATGCCACATTTACGCGCATAAACAATATCACCAACATCCATTTGGTCCCTATACATATTCTTTTTTCCACTTGTCGTTGACGCAAATACTCCTTGTTGTGAGCACGTGATTTTTGCCCTATATGAATTACTCCTATAAAATTCAAGAAAATAGGTTTTTTCAAGTTATTTGCCATTTTGTAGGATTTTTGTAGGATTTTATTAATTGTCTGCATTTTTGTGCACGTTTAATTTCCATTAAAAATCATGAAAAATGCCAAAAATACCATGCATCGCATTATATTTTGTTTTTTTTACATTTTTAAGGTTAATTAGTCAATTATTTATTTTATTAAAAATAAAAATCATAAAAATAGTTCATTTTTGCATTTTTAGCTTTAATTTTAGAATAGTAGTTTTTCTCTTTTAATTTAGAATCAAGGAATTTTTTTTAGGAAATTGGTTAGTTTTACAATCTAGATTAATTTAGGTTTTTAATTAAAAAGAAAATAAAAGAAAAAGAAAAACCAAAAAAGAAAAGGAAATAAAAGAGGGTTAATTGAAAAGGGTTTGTTTTAATTTTATTGGGTCAAAGCCCAAACATTTCTGCCTAAACCCGCTCCAAATCCAGCCCAATGCCCCATACCAGGTTCAGCCCAGCCCCGTCTAAACCAAACGATCCCATTTTGTTGACCGTTCATCACGACCGTTGGATCATTGTGATCCAACAGTTCAGAGCTGATCCCCACCCCAGTATAAAACTGTCTGAAGCTCTCTCACCCCTCATTCCAATCCCTCCCAGTCCGTCTCTAACCCCAAACCCTAGAGACCAGCCGCCCTAAAATCCCCTCACCGTCTCCGCCTTATTCCGCCGCTGGAAATTGCCCCACGGTGGCGGACCAACTCCAAACACCACCAAAGTTACACCACATAATCCCCTTGCCTTCCTCTTTCCGAATCTCTAGGTCTTCTTCCCCAAATCCCCCTCAAACTTGTCGAATATTGAATCTAAACTCAAAGTCCCCAAAACCCTAACTCACCCAAATATACCCAAACTCACATCGTATGACCCCTGACCTTCCCTCGCTACTATCCTGCCTTTGATTACCAAAAATCCTTATCCGAATTGTTCGAATTTTGAATCTGGAAATCTTGAACCTTAATTTTTCCCCATTTTTGTTTCTCCGTTTGATTGGTGGTCAAGTGAACCCAAAACATCCATTAATCGACTGTTCTTGTTAAGAAGAGTCGATTAATGGTAGTTCGAGTTCATTTCTGATTAGTGAAGTTTGACCGAGTGGTTCCAGTATTGGGAAGGGAAAAGGTAGGTATTTTCTTTTCATTCTTTTGTTTGATTTTGTCTCTCATTTTCTTTGTATTCTCTTCTGCATGTTACTTCTTTGAATTTGGCCGCATATTTTAATTATTACCATGTTTAGGTTTTATTTCTTGTTGTTCATAGTTTTTGGTTCTGCCTATTTGTTTGTTCATTAGGAAAATAGAAATTTCAGCATTTTAGTATTTAGGGTTTATTAGTATTGTGTCCAGTTAATTTAATCCAAAATCATGCATGTTAGTTTCATGTTGTTATTTGATTTCCTGATTACAATGTTGTTAGTTGGTGCAATAGGTCTAATTCTCAGAAAATGGCTCATTAATTAGGAATTCCGGATTCATATTAGGTTCAAGTGTTTTTGTTTGTGTCATTTTGGTTTCAAGTTCATTGATAAAGAATTTAGGTTAAGATAAAAGGCTTAATTGAGTTAGGATTTATCCTCATTTAATCTTCTTTGTTTTAATTCAGATTTTTGTCTTGTTTGCCATAATTTGCTAATCGTTAGAAACCCCTAGGGCTCAATTGAACAATTGAAAAAACTTAAGGGGGTCTGGGAAGGGTATGAAACATGTTTTAGATAAGGTTGGTATAGGAAGTTTCTAGAACCTGGGGCAGTTGTGCCCATTTGGTTAGCACAAAAATGCTGAGCCAATAAGGGACAGCCAGCTGTCCAGGTGGTTAAAAAATATACCTTTTCAGGCTGAGGGAATTATTCCCTAATTCTATTTTTAGCACATGGCCTTAGAGGCTTATAAGTAGTGCCCTTGCTTCGCTCTCAAAAATATATTTTTTTAGCATCATTCTCTGCAGCAAAAATCCTAAAACACACATCAGAATTTCATAATAAAAGGTTTTTCTGCACTACTTGGCTGGTATTTCTAGTTTTCTTTTGGAATTTTAAAAGCTTCCATGGATTCTCTGGTCTTCTAAGCTGAAAATTGGCTGGTTGTTGAAGCTGTTTTGCTTGATTTTTCATAACTATTTTTGGCTGTTGTGTTGAATTATTGCTGCTGAGTTTCCTTCATATTGCATTTGTTGTTTTCCTGTTTGTTACTCATTCAAGGTACCATTTTCAGTTCCTTTCTTGTGTATTGTGGTTTCTTTTTTTGAAATGGAATGATTTGTTCAATAAATGGATTTTATATGAATGTTGGTGGGCTTGTATAGATCTGGTTCAAGTTTATTTGTTTGAAACTCAGCATGAATCTTGTTATGTGGGTTAATAATCATCTGTGACTTCTCTTCTTGCTACATGTTTAAGTTTAAAATTTGCTTTCAAGCTTTATATTAGAATGTGGAAGTCCAGCATGCTAAAAGTAGTCTATAGGGATCCATGTGAAGGCTGAAACCTGCTCTCATTTTATTGTTTTTTTGTGGTAAATTAGCTAATGGAATCTGTGAGGTAGTATAAAAGGGGATCTGGACATTTTGGTTAAGCTTTCCTTGTGTGTTGACACCAATGAAGGGTTGTAATGGTACTAACTTTTGCTTTTGTTGGCCTGTTGCCATAATGAGTCAAATGCAAATTTGCAAGTTAGCTTTATAGCTATTCTTAAAACTTCAGCAATGTTTTAAATCACAAGTCTCCAGGGAGGAAGTATGATGTCTTAGCAAAAGGGTGGATCGTTTTCTTAAGCTTTCTCTCAATGAGTAGTTAGATTACTTAGTTGTTATGATTAAAATTGTATAAACTTATTTTCCTTCAGTTATCTATTCTGTATGATTATTTTAGGGATGTTCAGTTATTGATAGTTAATTGTAGTTTTCAAATTTATGTATTTGCTGTCAAGTATATTCAGAAGACCAGTGTGTTTCATTAATGAATTGGGCCT